GGGGGGGGGGGGGGGGGGGAGCACTTGCTCAGAGCCGAAGAACAAAGTGAGTATAATCTGGGAAGCAATTAATGAATGCTAGGCAAAAAAAGAGGGCGTCTATTTAGGATTTCTGATAAAAAGAGTTAAAACTCCCACACCCTTGATTTTCCTTCATCCTGGCTTTCCTCTGTGAAGGCCTGCTCATTATTTTTGCTTCCCTCTGTCCAGGCTGCAGAAGGGCACAAGCAATTGTTACACTTAAAAAACGTAATTGCAAGCAGCAGCATACCTCCTCCCCCCCCCACGACCACCCCCACCACTCCAAAAGCCTGCAGCGCCCAGAATGCTTTTCTCCTCCTAGGTCGTTTTCCTTGCGCCTGCGTCACTTTCCTAACACCTCTCTTTGAAGAACAGCTCTCGAATGGTAAGGAGGGAAAGGGAGCGGCGGAACTACGAATCCCACAATGCAGCGAGAGTTAAGACGCGCGTGCGTGGGATGGCGCTCTCTCGGGAAGCGGGTCAGTTTGAAGCTGCAAGAGGAGCTCCATGGAAACCAGGCCGCGGGACATCAGGGTCTGCCGGGTGAGCTCCTGCGCGGGTTGTGTGTTCGTGGAAAATGGGGGAGGGCGGCTTACACGATCGAGCGGAGGTGTCTGAGGGTGTGGGAGGAGAGGGTTGTGGGCGCAACTGTAGGGAAACGAGAGAAAGCAATAAAGATTGGCTCTCGGGCTCCTCCTGGCCCTACGAAGCTCCTGCTCTGCTAATTAATCCCCCTTTGGTCGTCTCTAGGACCTAAGTGCCTTTGCCCGTCCGACGGGGCGTCTGGCCGGCCGGCCCTTGTGGCAGAAAGAGCTGCCTTTGTAAGTGAAGATGCCCAGCGCTGAATCTGGGACCTCCAGTTGCACGTGGGCTTGATGACTGAGATGCGGACCTTCCTCTGGTAATCAGCTTTGAAAGGGAATATCTCATTCACAGACGCTGCTCTAGGATAATGGCCAGTTGTGTGGAGGAGGACTTTCCTTGATTCCCCCTGGATCTGTTGCCAATTGACTGTGCCTTGAGTCCTGATGCTGAGAGACAGCAAGCTCTCTGTTCCTTCTGGGCACATCTTTAATCATGTTTTCAGCTGCTGGCATGGTGTGGCTCTTCAATAATATTAATAATGTGGCTGTCTAATTTGAAATGTGTTCATAATGGTAAGCCCTACTGGATTTAGCTGGATTTAACCTCCATGGAAAGGTGGATACAGCTGGGCTTTTTTCTGATATATTTTACTGAGTTACAGTGATGCTTTCCTGTATGTGGGGAATGAAGCCCATAATCCCACCAAAAGCACAATAGTGTTGGGTCTTCCTTCTATAATGGGTCAGTCTTCCATTGGCTGCAGTGATTAACAGCCATCTTTGCTCATGCTAAATATTTTTACAGCAGAAAAGGATTTTTTCTGGGTCATACGAGAAGCGTAAAGTAACAGAGAATAAAATGCCAGTTTAAGAAAAAGCAGTTCTTGTACAGTCTCTTTGCGTGAACAAAACCAGTGTTTGGAAGACACTCAACAATTTAGCTAAGTTTCCTCTTCCTGTGCAGTAGAATGGGTTACACATTTAATCAGTTCTGGCTCTTCTTTAAAAAAAAAAGGAAAATGAAAAACTCAGTATTGTCGAATATGCCATTTTTTAGAACAAGATGAATTTTGAGTAAGTCCCATTACTTTCATAGGGATTTAATACCAAGTGAAATGTACATCAGAGTTAAGACAGGTGTGGATGACTCAGTATATCAGCAAAAGGGATGAGTAGTCATGATGTTGGGGATAATGTATCTTTGAAAGTAATACTCTATTTTGTCAGTCTCTTCTTCTTCAAGGCTAGGAAGATAGAGAAATTATTCACTGTAAACAAGTGGTGATTTCATCAGAAACATTAGGTTTTATGAAGTTCTGCTTGGAAAATCTCCATTAACGTTTAATGGCTTGTATTACTTATTGAACTACCAAATAAAATTAGGAAAACAAGAAAAAAAAAAACCCAGAAATCCTAGCTCCATCTAATTTTTATCACACCTATTCCACTGTGCTTTCCAGACATGCAAAAAATAGTAAGTGTGTGGCAGCTGGCTATCAAATTATCTCCTTTCACCACTTTGTGAAATTTACATACATTATAAAAACTGTTTATCATTTCTCTCTGCAAGTATTTTCTCTTTATATCTTTTTTCAGTGACTGATGAGCTGGTTTTAAGATCATAACTACTATCTCTAAATTTGTTTTTAAATCAGATATTAGTTGAAAGCTGAGACTGTGATGGCAAGACCAATAATCTCCCCAATGGGTGTCCAACCAACGGCTCCTGAAACCTTTGTTGTGCTGAACCAGAGAATGAAAGTAGCTGAAGAGGAGACAAATGCACTATTGAATGATCTGCAGAAATTGGGTGTGAACAGACACAGGTATGGTTGAAATGGAGCTTGCACAATCTTGGTTATGTTTGCCCAGAAGTAAGTTCCACTGTGATTTAATGAGACTTGTTTTTAGGAAAATGTATTCAGGTATGCAGCTTTAATTTTGAGTTTGCCTTGCTCTGCATTCTTTGCTCTTTCTGAGCTTCACATTCCTTCTTCTCTTAGTATTTAATTATTGACATTTTTTTCTATTCTAATTTAATCTAGTTGCTGAATTAATTCAGTTGAGAAATGAGAAATAGATTTTGTGGCTTAGCTGTGTTCCAGAGTGTAGCTAATTACATTAAATATTGGGGAGATGCTAGTGATGATTCCAAACAAAGAGGTATTCCTTTGGTCTTTTCCCAGCATGGAACTCTTCTCTTCAAAACACACAGCGAACTCTGAAGATCACCAGTCCATCAGCCCTATCCAAGTTCGAACAGCATTTGTTGGGGCAAATAGCACACTGTGGAAAACCTGTGAAACTCTGGTGAATCGGACATGCCGGCTTGAGAGTGTCATCCAGACCCTAAAACTGAACATGTTCCGGTTGCAAACAGAAAAGGAGTTGAATCCAAAGCATGCAGGTATCACAGGAAGAGAATGGAAGACTGCAGTAATATACATGCTATTATACCTTCTTTCCTTTGTGCAGAGTCTGTAGTCTCCTCAGCAGCAGTTGCTCATGTACTACAAGAGCTTAAATGAGTGATAGAGCAGCGTGAGTACAATGTAGTCATGCAGAAAAGCAATCTATCTCTGTTTAATCACTCAATCTATGATTCACTGTTCAGGAATTGGTAAGGATTTGGTGACCAAGGACCACCATTAATATTTGTGAGGAGGACTAAAGAATGCAAAGTTGGTATAGCTATATCATACAGGTAGGCAAAACTGGAGTTTCAAGGAGCCTTTTTGTTTTTTAACTGTGATCTGCCTATTTTAGGCCTTCCTGTATATATATTTGTATATGTAGCTGTTATAATTGTTTCCCATCATAACATGGTGGGGAAATCTGCTGTCAGCTTTTAGCAGTCCTGAATTGAGGATTTCTGAGGGCTGGAATAAAGAGGGCTTGGAGAGAAATAGGCAATTTGGGAGCCATAGTCAACTATACTGCTGTTTTTTATATGATTGGGTATCTAATACCATCCAAAACAGCAACACAAGAGGATAATCTGTGATCTTCCAGTTCAGGGTAATGGTGTATACTGAATCATAATAGATGTTTTTTGGATAGTGGGCAACTTTTTTTCATCTTATAAACCTTTTTGAGTGCCTCATGTAAGAATAAAAAACTCAGAAATTTGGGCAGTTTTATTGTACAGTATACTGCTATGCCTTAGTTTATCCCTTACTATCTTATAGCCAATTTAGAACAGCGGCTGAATACAATACAGGAGGAGCACATGGAAGAGCTAAAGGTGCTGCAAATGGAAGGGAGAATGCTATGCCAGCAGCTGAGGGAGTCCCGAGAAGAGGAAGAAAAAGCTAGAGACCAAGTGCAGAAACTAAGCGCTGCCCTAGAAACTGCAACTGCAACAAAGGTATAGTTTTCTAGCTGTTGCTTCTTTAATCTCCAGTTTAATGTAGATCACTGCTATTATATTAAAAGAAACACTAAGGCTGAATTCACACAATGTGCTAAATCATAATTTAACTATTGTTTCTTCACTAAGGCATAATTGGCCCAGCTCATTCATCTGCATTAATCATTATTTACAAACTACAGTAGCTGGGTTCACATAACACAGGAAGCCAATGCAAATAAACAGATTGTTGCTTAGTACTTGTATGGACCCAATACAAGTATTCTCCCAATAGAAGACAATATATGTAGTTCAAGGTTGAACTGTGGAATCCTTGGTACTCTCTGAGCTTGGTTGTTTGCTTGCAGATGTTTCATTACCCAACTAGGTAGCATCATCAGTGCGAGTGAGTGTGGGTTTTGCTCCCTGTCTGTATACAGTAGCTTGCCCTGCCAGTTTTGGTGGGGGTATAGTTTGCTCCTTGGGAGCAAACCCCACACTCACTCGCACAATGAGGTTACCTAGTTGGGTAATGAAACATTTGCAAGCAAACAACCTCAGCACCAAGGACTCCACAGTTAGTATTCTTTTTCCCAACAGAAAACCCAGATGGTTGGCTATTTATTTGCAAAGAGGCCAGAAATCCTATGGTTTGCACTGGACAGAGGAATAAAAATTGGATTGTCTCATATTATTTCCACCTAGATTGGTTAGAATATTAGATTTATTAAGTCTGTGAGAGAGGAGGGTCTCCATCATTCTGACAGAGAAAATAATTAACTAATAGTCAATGTTACTTGTACCCATTAGGTGAGGTAGGTCATGGCATAGGATTTTCTTCAAGAGAGGAGAGTTAAGCAAACTTGCATGGGATGCCATAGTTGCATCAGATCCTTAGTAGGGATTTGGGGATCTCCAGTAAATACTCTTGATTTTTTCAAGTACAGTTTCATATGTTCCTATTTCCTTGTACTCATTTGAAATTGCTTGCTTTTTAGCCCTATCCTAAATTTTACAGATTTTGTTGTAGTTCCTGACAGATTTCCCAGTTCAGTATGTGATAGGGGAAAAGTTTTAATACTATTAGGTATAATGCATTGCAGTTGTACCTAATAGTATTGCAATCTACCTGGTGTGTGTGTGTATCTGTATCTATCCACAAACATACATATTAAAAACTGCAAGTTTGGCAGTAGTGGTAAGAGGAAGCATGTTCAACAATTCAAAATAGGATATGGGATTATGATTCCAATGCTTGGGTGTTCCTAGCAATCTGAAGTATGACTCTGTAGAGGGCCTTTGTTAATCTTTGGGAATATGGAGGCAATGAAGGCTCATAATAGGGTAGCCCTTCCTGTTCACTCATTGGGAGAGGCTCCTTGGTTTCCTGAGAGACTCCAAGAGATGAAGCACCAGAAGATATTCTGGAGTAACACTGGCAGAAAACAAAGAGCAAATCTGAGTGGACATGGGTATAAACTCAAGTTTTTGTAAATGTAGATGTTGTAAAAGTCTTGACCCAGAATCTGGAAGCTGTGGAAGTCTGGATGGGCAACTCAAGCAAAAAAAGACAGTAAGACTGCTGATTTTGGGATGGTGCTGAATGTTTTAAATGAGGTCATGTTCTTCCAGAAAGGGCTATTCAGGAACTCAAGGGTTTTCTGGATTTGCTGCTCCTGCTGGAAGAGCAGATGGAGTGCTGGCACTGCTGGCTACCAGCCAACAAGATAGCCAGCTGGATGCCTGCCACAGTCCAGAGATATGCAAACTCAGGCAGAACCTTTAGAAGCAAAGAGTCCTTTTTACTTATAGCTAGAGACAGCAACTGTAACATAGTCGAGGCTTGGCACGAGTTGAGACCAGGAATCCTGTAAACAAACGATTAATCCAAGGGAAAAGATGAGAGACATGGTGAGGTGGAATCCAGGGTTCAAATGGCACGACCAAGTAAACACGACAGAGCAGAGGCTTGGAAAGTTATTCTCAGCGTTTTCTCTCTGGGAGTGAGGCCAATAAATAAGCCACGCTGAGCCATCACCCAGATGCACAGCTGAGATATAATACTCATTAGAGTCTACTGTTGTGCCAGCCAGTCCTTGGCCAGTCTGTGACCTGCAGAGTTCAGCTCTGTTGTTATATCTTTGAAGCACGCTTTTGCTTGGGACTTGGGTGGGTGCCCCATAGAGTCTGAAAGGCTGTCAGTGGATGCAGGCAGGGAGTCCTGGGGGCTTGCTGCATCTGCCTCAGGCAGAGTGGAGTTACTGGCTTCAACTCTACTGGAATCACCCCTTCCAGGACTATTATCCCTAGAAACCTCTGGCTGTACTTCCTCCTCATCAGAAGACAAGTCCAGCAGGGCCATAAAGCTTTGGCTGATGTGCCAATTGTAGCCTTTTCTGGAATGAGTAGTGTGATAGTGGTTACTTATGTCCATGTCACTTCATGCTTGGATTATGTAACTTGTTCTACGTGGGGCTGCCCTTGAGAACCACCTGGAAACTTGGAACAACCCGTTATTGTAATTGTACATCAGTATTTCAAGAACTGCATTGGTTGTTTGTTTCCTGGTGCCACTGAGGTTGCTGATTATAACTGTAAAGCCCTATATGGCTGGGAGTCTAGTTATATACAGGACAGCTTACTGTAAGTAGAATCTGCCTGCCCAAAAGGTCCAGGCAAAGAATGCGCGCTAAAAGTCCTCAATCTCATGAGGGAGCTTGGAAGTGAGCATTCTCTGTTGGAGTTTCCCTGCTGTGGAATCTCTAGAAAATAAGAGAGTAGTCCAGGGATATTGGCAGTGAGTGGTCAAAAAAGTCAAGATGACAGCTGCAATGGTGTGATCAAAGCTCTGCCTGTTTTTTATGTGCATTGTACATGTAATGCTTCTTAAAAATAGGTAGAACTTCAGTTACACCATTGCAGCCATCTTGACTTTTTTGACAACATCCTATGGACACCCATGGAATACAGGTAGTCCTCGCTTAACAACCCTTATAAGGACCAGAAACTCCATGGTTAAGCAAAGCGAAACATGACATGACCAACTTACAATGGCAGTTCCAGTAGTTCCAGTTGCAGTCATTAAGTGAATCACCTGCAGTTGTTAAGCAAGACAGCATGTGACCACAACTTGTGACCTCCTGCTGGCTTCCCCACTGACTGCTTGTCGTAAATGCCAAGTGCCAGAACTGTGATCACGTGACTGCAGGATGCTATGATGGTCATAAGTTCAAGGACTGGTTGTAAGTCACATTTTTCACTGCCATTGTAACTTCAGACAGTTGCTAAATGAATGGTTGTTAAGCAAGCACTACCTATATTCCAAAATATACATTTTGATTTTTCTGAAGCAAGCAAAAATCTAGCTGTTTCAGAGAACATTAGGGGATTGAGGCATGAGTGAGGGCTGCTGGCAATAGCATTGTTTATTGATTATATAGTGTGCAATTTTTACATGTTTTTAATTCTGTTCACATTCTGATATTCTTTATTGATGAAACCTGTTTGCTATTTAGATTTCATTGATTTAAATCACATTGAAGTTCTAGTTTCAAAAATGAATTAATGAGAAAGATAGAGATTTGGGTAGTAAAAAAGGCCTTAGAAAGCTATGCTGTATCACATAAATCCAAATGCCAGAAGATTGTTGGAACTACAAACAAATATCACAGCTAAAGGCTATAAAGAGTCTTTTGAAAAATGTTTGTACATTCTGTTACAATTGTTTAAAGATGTTGTTTTGGTCTTTGTAGAGAGATGTATCTATTGCAGCTGAAGAATTGAGAACAACAAAAGAAAAGATGAGCAATAAACTGCAAGAGGTAAGAGCAGAAGAAAATTGGAGAGTAGTAAACTTCAAAAAGTAGTATATAATGCAGGGCTATCAGCACAAGGGAATGTATGAGTTGAAGATTCTTAGAATATTCTCCAAGAGATACCATATAGTTTGGGAAGAAGTTTTCAATCGAAGGGCCACCATTAATTTTGCAGAGACAAGATAAAACCATTTCAGGCTAAGAATGTATGTTGCATGTCCATCAGGTATATTCTGGGAGTCTCTATATTGTGATTTACAAAGTGAGACCATTGTTTGTAAGCTACAGGTGACTCACAGGTTTGTTTTCCATGTTGCCTTTCTGCTTTGCCTTACTTTTTGCAGATAACAGAGAAATTGGCCAAGGAGTCCAGCACACGGGAGTCTTTGGAACAAGCCCAGATTGTCCTTCTTTATCAGATGCGTGATATGGAAGTGATGGTAGAAAAAGAACGGAAGCAGGTAGTAGATGCCTTTCTGTTATGACCAAAGAATGTGCTCTGCAGGATGCTGATAGACTAATATTGATGTGTAAGGATGCAACAGCATATCATTAACGCTGAATATTAAATGACAGTGTTGCTGCTACAACCAGGCTTTTTGGAACAATTTACTGATGCAAACTTTGATGTATGTAAGTGTTCAGTTTTCCCCTATTAGGCAGAATGCTGGATGGACATCTCTAAATTGCACATGACTGCATACTATTAAGGAAATCTTTATATAGAGTTTACTTGAGAGCCTTTCCTTCGCCAGTCCTCAACCACCTATATGTTACTCATATTCATGCAGTTTATGAGAATAGTCAGCATGCTGCAGTTTGGAGAATGTATGCTTTTTTTACCAGCAAGAAACAAGCATAGAATGTGACTACTGGGTGGTTGTCCAACATCCCAGGCTGTATTACCTAGCTAATTTGTCAGATTTTGACAGAGCAGAGGTTATGTAGGCTGCCTCATGGCAATCACCTGAATTCAATAATGGATGAATTATGTGTCCGTATTCTGTTCTATCAGTATCATCCGTCAAATACAGGGTTGGAGTCAGTCTAAATGATGGGTTTTAGCTCAGCTATCATTGGAAATAGATGGCCATATCTGAGTGGGCAACAGCTTCCAGTCCCCATCTGGCAGTTTCTCAGATTACACCATCAAAATTTGATGGCAAACGCAATGATTTTCAGCAGCATGATTTTCAGTATTCCTGTCACCCATCAAAATCCTCCAAACTTTCCCCAATCAATCAATCAAAAAAATCAAATCCCTCCTCTTCATATGACATTATTATATACCCATTGCTGCTTTGGACGCTGATTTTTTTTAACTTTAAAAAATGTAGCCCTGATCCAGCATTCAAGTCTGCTCTTGAATTATTTTCCAAATTTGTGGGTGTTTCTATCTTGATCCTCAAGGATAAGAAAGACTCTATGTGATAAGTCACTCAACTGAATAATTGAATTTCATTTAGCTTGTTCATTCTTCATATTTCTTAATTGTTCTAAGAAATGCTTGGGTTTTATCGAATGCATGTTTCAAATGTCATGACAGGTTCACATTCTGCAGCAGGACTGTAACAGTCTACGCCATGATTTTCAGCTATCCCAGGAGAGATTGAAGAAGGAAGAAGAGAAGATAGTCCAATTAGAGAAGGAATGTGTACATCTTAAAGCTGATCTAGGTATTGGAATCAAAGCATTGGATGTTTTGTATTTCTGAAAGCAATGATTTGTCTTTGGAGTAATTAGAAAATTCTAATCGTGGCATTAAATGCGTGACAGGATATTCACGTCCTCTGGTAATCATCTGACGTTCAGTAATAGATAAGTTAATTAGAAATATCTTTAATTGCTGATTTTTTTTTCATGACTTCCCTTAAGCTGTAACTGTTTTTCAAGGTAACAAAAGACCAGTGTTGCTGAACAGAGAAAGTACTAGTCTAAGTTCAAGGATAGTTGCATGCTATTTGTCCCTATTCAATGAAGTGGAAAATATATTGTATCAGGCGTGAAATCCAAACATAGGAAGGCTCATATATTTAAACAAAAATAAATGCTAGTCTACATTCGGAATGAAATTAATACAAGAGGAATGTCTGAGTAAACTGAAAAATCACACTTTTAAAGAGGTGCAAAATACTATATGGAATCGTGTAAACTGGAACAGCTGAAAAGCAGATTAATAGAGCTTCTATGCCTGCTGCAGCGTAGATATGGAGGTGATGAATAAAGGGAAACTGTTCTCCAAAGATGAGATATAAAGAGAAAATGTCTCTGAGACTAACTGTTGCTTTTTGGAAAGACAAAGAATTCATAATATACTTGAAAATTCTTTCATGAAAAAATGAGAAACTGGTTATCAGCCCCCCAGTCATAAAATTGAAGATCATCTCATGTGGTCTGCTCAGTGCTGGAAATCCAGAGGCAGAGCATTGTCAAGAAAATAATGTCTAGATTTGGCTGGGAGGTCTTCACTGAGGGAAGCCCACTGCCCCTCCTGTTAACTGATTCTATTGTACATCTGCTGTTACCATACAAAATTTAAAGCACCTTGATGATGGAACCAGCTATCTTCAAAAAAGTATCTAGGCCACCTGTGGCAGATTTTCATCCACATAAAACAGGACACTATAATCATTCATATAATTATCTGTAGTTGTTACAGGGAATGTAACATCTGTACATGTACTGTGATGTAAGCTCTCATCAGATTAGCTTGTAAATTTAAATCTTCATGCAGAAAAGAGCTGCTACTTTAGATTGTATGAATGCATAATCTGTAGGCAAATCCTGAGTAAGTTACTTAGAAATAACTTGCTTGGAATGCACTAGTTTTGTACCTGTTCCTTTGTTATTAGGGAAGAATACTTGTTAGTATAAACAGTCAGATGTCTGATTAAAACAGCTAGCTGTATTTTAATTTTTTTCTAGAATCCCGAGACAATACCATTTCCAGGCTAAGCAAAGAAGTGCAAGTAAGTTTCAAAAGAAAATCTTGCAGTGGGAGGAAAAACATGTTCAAAAATTCTTTTTGTAAGTGTCTGACTTTAACTACACCTGTAGAAAAGAAGGCTTTTGGCTAATACATAAAGAGTTGTGCTGATTTGAACTGGAGAGCACCATTATGTAAACTGTAAGACATGTTGATGCTTCTGGTTTGCAACTCACTAGGCCTTGCCTCTTTTAAAACATTTTTTCCTAAAGACAAATTATTTTCCTCTAGATTGCACAGCTATCTTTGAACCCAGCACAAGAAGAGAATACACAGCTTCGATCAGAAATATCTACTTTACAAGAGGTAGCAAGTAAGGGGCAGGTAAGACATATTTCTGTTTTTACAGTCTTGGTTCAAATTATTGATAGTCCTCATTTAGTGACCACCCTTTGAATCAGCAACTTGGTTGTTAAGTGAAATAGTCGCTAAGTGAAACCACAACTGTACTTATGATCTTACTTCAACTTTCCTATGCTTTACAGACCTGTGAAGGTCATAAATGCAAAGATTGGTCATAAAGTTATTTTTCATCATCGTTGTAACTGCAGATGATTACTAAATGAGGCAGTCACTGAACAAGGACTACCTGTACCTAGGGTAGAAGACACAGGTGTCTGTAAAATCTGGATATTTTTCTGGGGGTCATTTTAGTTTGCTTCTGAGAAAGGAGTTTTCAGGTTCTTAGGAAGGTTGGGGATGTGGCCAGAGGCTGGTCGATGGTCACCACAGAAAGCTGCTCCTGAACTGCCCAGGAACTTCAGGTTCACCTGCTTTTCCTGCTGGAAACACTGGCCAATATCCGATCACCCAGCTACAAACAGAATACCAGGAACTAACTGCACATCAAAGACATACTGTTTTGTAAGGAATGGAAGCCAGGATTAGCTATCTTATCAGGAAACCTGTGTATGTTGCTGTGGAAAATCTGTTGTTTTTTCCCAGATGCTTAATGAGCAATTGGCTCAACAGTGCACAGAACTAAGTGATGCTCTTCAAAGAGCTACTATGGAAAATGCGCAACTTATCTCAAATCATCAGGCTGCTCTTCAGGTATGGAGTACATTTTAATGTACGTAAATGTAAATTGTCTCTTAAAACCAAGTTGCTAGCCTCAGGTGCATGGCCTAGCTTTTATTCATTTTATTTAAATCGATTTATATGGCCACCCATCTTACTAATGTGATTCTGGGTGGCTGTACAGACAAGAATCCAGCAATGTTTTGTAATATATCAACCAGCTGGAGCCAATGTAATAGACAAAGAAGAACCTGTTTATTTGCTTAAATATTTGAGTTTTCAAGAAGTCTTCATCAGAATATATTGTTAAAATCCGAGAAGGAGAGAGGGGGAAGCCTGGATATGGCTGATGTTGTAGCAGATTCCTTTCTTAGATGGAGTGAAAGTGCAGACATGCACACTCTTAGGCACAGACCAGAGGCAGACTGCCTCATGACCTCCTCAAAAACCTGCTGAAAGAAAAGTCAAAGAATTGTTGGCTCTTCATTTCTGTTAAAGTCAGGCTACGTTTAGTCTTTGTGAAGTGGGAAACTGAAGAGAAGTCAGCTGGGCAGTCCTTACATTGGCAAAGCTGGGGAATTTCAAGTGTTGATCCAGTTCGTTTTGGAATCTAGTTCATTATTACATGTCTTTATTTTCCTACTTGCTTGCTTAGCAGTGCTTATTTGTTGCTCCAATGCAGAGGGATTCTGAGCAGCTTCCATTCCTTTCCTTTATTAAGAAAACTAAAATAGCAAAACAATATTAGAAAGATTGCCTGTCAATAACAAAAAAATATTGTGGCCACCAAACAACAAGTATCCAAACACAATCAGGGTGGGCCCCAAAGTCATTTGAGTTTCCCTCCCAGAGCTCTCTTAAAAAATCAAATTCTTACACTTTTCCTAAAACTCAACAGGGTTGGACTAGTCTGATTTCAGGAGGTAAACTATTCTAAATAAGAGGGGTTGCAACTGAGAAGGCTCAACTCTCTGGGCCCTGTAGAAAATCCCTAAGAGAAGGGACCTGGAGCATGCCTGCCCTGTTCAGTCTTTTTGGATGAGCAGGTGCAACTGGGAGCAGGCAGGCCCAAAGATATCCAAGTCCTGAGCCATGAAGGGCTTTGAAAAATACAACCAGGACCTTGAATTGCACCTGGAAGCCAACTGGCGATCAGTGCAGTTCTGGAAGTAGGAGTGTTAGATGGGAGAATTTTGGTATTCCTGTCATGGATGAGGCAGCTGCAACCTCCACCAGTTCATGCTTCTGGATGGTATTCAAAGCAGCTCCATGCAGAGGACACTGAAATAATCCAAACAGAAGGTAAATTATGCATGAGCTACTGTGAACAGAGGCTCCCAATCCAGAAATGGTCATAGCTGGCACAGCAGATATAACTAATACTGTTACATACATGTTCATAAATTCTTCTTTTTTCCCATTAAGATGGAACAAGAAAAAATGAATCAGAAACTGCAGGAAGAAGACTTGATTTTGGATGCTACTCGAGCTAGTGTTACAGAAGAGCTGCAGATTGTACAGAAAGAAAAAGCTCAGCTCCAGAAAGAAATGTGAGAGGCAATTGAGATTTGTGTGGTTGTTTCCCAAGTGTGACCTGCTTTCTTTCCTGTCCTGCTATTTTCTGTATTTGTTCCCTTACTTTAGCACAAGCTGTACCTTATTCTGTTACTTGCATTGTCTTCTGTTATCCTCTACAGTCTTCAAAAATTGCAGAACTGCCATACATTTGTGTTTATTTTATAGAGAAGTCTTGCAAGCTGAGCATGCTGAATGCAAGCAGAGAGATTGTAAAGGAGAAGTCACTGCTGCCGAAAAAGAACTCCTGGAGTCTACAGTTGCCCAGATCCAAAATGAATTGAAAACAATTATACAGGAGCGAGATTCTCTGCTGCAGGAGAAAAAGATACTTGAAGAAGAGGTATAGTGGATATCTACTGGGTTTTACTGTAAAACCCACATTTTTCTCAGGCTTGGTAGGACATTAAATATTCATTAGAGGGAGGCAATCTTAGTATGACTTTAAGAAATGGCACATACTGACAGGGTGTACAAGTTTTGAATTGGCTGAGAAGAATATTTCAGGGCTAGATATTTTTATAACATCTGTCCCAGAAAATAGCATAGAAAACTAGTATAATCTGGACAGTATTTGATGAGCTGTCACTAATTATTGCAGATTCAGGTTTTTACAAAAGTTACCCATTCCTAATATACATCAACAACAACAACAAAATACAATAGCTTAGATTTTTCTTTGAAGTGTTTGGCTGTAAAACTGTTTTAATTCTTAATGGTAGTTGGAGAAAACAATACAAGAAACAAGAATGACGAATGAAAAGTTGGAAGCAGAACTAACGGAAAAAAAGGTATGGCATCATACACAAATGTTGAAAAGTATTGAGGATCCCATTGGCCAACAGTTAAGTAGATCAACTAATTTGCAATTTATTGGGTTGTAGATCCAGATTTGGTTGGAATAAGCTTGGAAAAACATAGGAGACATCTCTTGATTTGGCCTATTACTCTTAACCTCTATTTCAAGATATCAAATACCTGTTTATTGAAATAGTCCTGTAGGTTCAGATTATTTTAGGACTCTTTGACAACAGTTCATCAAAACTGGATCTTTTTTATATAACCAAGTTCTAGAACCAGCTAATAATGTGAACATCAAAAGCACACCGTTTTGAAAAAAATGAATTTTCTAGATAAATGCATGATAACCATCATGCAGCAAAGGTATTAGTTTAAAGGACTAAGTTGATGTTTATAAATGGAAGACCAATAATTTGTCATTATTAGTCATTTTAGATACTAGCGCCTGATGCTGTAGATAACTAGCAATTGTCTGGCTCCCTCTGCTGCTAGAGAAAGATCTAGATCTATTTCATCTACCAGATGGTTCAAACTGTGAACAACTGACTGTATTTTCCAGCACCAGAAATGAAATGTAGTCTTTGTTTCTTTTTTAAGTTGGAAATTAATCCTCTGAAAGAGTCCGTGAAAGCACTAGAGGAAGAAAATAAGATATTATCGGAGCAGGAAGCTGCACTGGGACAACAAAAGGTACGCAACTGACAAAGCACAACCTGGCATAAAATATAAAGTTGTTTGATGATATCACTTCTCTCCCAATTTAAAAAAAAAATGAACATTCAACAAAAGGAATGTTAAGGGAAAAAAGCCCCAATGCTTTTTTGCAGTTTCATTGGAATCCTATGAAACAGGCAGCATCTGTTTCATCTGGCTTAGTTCCCCATTTTACTTTTGCATTCAGGACTGGTCTTGTGCCTCAGGCAGTAGATGCAGAGGGAGTGCAGTGGTAGCCTTCCATCTGTTTCCTGTCAACTCTGCAGGTTCACTGTTGTTAGAGGACATTGCTATGTTAGCCCAGCAGCCTGCTGAACTTGCTGTCTCGATTTTATTGGGCATTATCCTGTGGTCAGCACTGAAGTAAGATTCTGCAGTCAGGCTGTGACTCATACTAAGGTGTTCTGGACCATTATCCTTTCCTCCTTCTGGTGCCCTTAATGAGTCTCCATGTAAATCCTTGAATTACTTGCAGGTACAGTATAGGAAACTGATTCTCTTAGTACAAGGGAGTGGGATTGACTCAGTAACAGCGGTTGCTTTTACATGCAACATAGCCTTTCCTTCCATTTCTTCTCAAAAAGCAAGGGTAATGATACCAAGAGAATGCAGTACCTTGTTACCATCTATACGCTCGCAGAAGCCCATTCGCGGAGAAGCCAACCCTCGAAACGTTAACCAAAACACCATGAAAAATGCGCCACCTGCAGATAAGGCAACCCTTGACATTTTCGTATTTTTTTAATTTTCACAATTTTCAGCTGGGACCGCGGGGATCGTCGTTGCTAAGTGATGTGGTTGCACTTTATGACTGCATCACTTAGTGATGGCAATTCCGGTCCCAATTGCCATCATAAGTCAAGGACTACCCATATTAAGCCTCTTTGCCCCAACAAAAAATGGGCTGAACATGTTGCCATTATTCCTTCTGACAGTGTTACTGTATGTAACCTTCTGAGCCTTGTTTGTTTGTTTTGTTTTGTTTAAAGGGTGGCTCTGGATACAGAAAGATTGGCCACCCCTTTGAACCTTACAGTAACATGACATAAACTACTTTCCATGGGTTCATCCTGCTGCTGCAGTGTTTAAAGTCTAGTCTTGATTCCAAGATAAGAACAGGTGCTGTTCCCTAACTTCACCAGTCTGATTCCCAGACAGAAAACATTACAGCTGCACCATAGGAAATGGCTTCTGCGGCACTTCTGGAGCTCTTGAACATTACCTGAAATTTGTTTTTCATTCAGGCTGGGCACTTCGTTAATTTCCAACTACTTTTTTTGTTTGAAGCATTATAAACATACAGTTTATAGGCCTAGAAACAAAAGAAAGAATAGAAATACAAGGGTAGATTTTGTAGACACAAGCAGATCATACATGTGGAATGCAAATTGTTTAAAAATGACTTGTTTGTGTTGTCTAGGAGATGGTGGATATTTTCCAATGACAATGAAGATGAGGAACAGGAAATAAGTAACAATGAAGATGTACCTAGCTAGGAATAGTGACATTTAAATCACTAAATTGATATCAGAATTGGTACTCCAATCCTATAAACATGTTTACTTGGAAATATCCTGTTACAGGTAGTCCTCGCTTAACAATGCTAATTGGGACTGGGAACTCTGTTGTTAAGCAATGCGGTCGTAAGTCAAAAAACCACATGACTGTGCCACTTAGTGATGGCAGTCCCGATTGTCATTGTTAAGTGAGGACTATGTGGGTCGTTAAGTGAGAATCTCACATGATCATGATTTCCTTCCAGCTTCCTCATTGATTTTGCTTGTGGAAGCCAGTAGGGAAGGTCGCAAATTGCAATCATATGACCACAGGACAATATGATGGTTGGAAGCGTGGGCCAATTGCTGAGCACCCGATCACTTGACTGTGGGGGTACTGCAACAGCCGGAACTTCAAGGGCTGGACATAAGTGCCAGTTGTTCAGTGCTGTCATAAGTTCAAACAGTCATTAAATGAGGACCACCTGTAATTTCAATGGACTTTACTGAAATGACAGGTCATTTAGGATTGCAATGAGAGTAGAGAGGGTGCTCAATGAAAAACAAGGCATATGCCTAAATTTGCAAAAGTATATGCCATCAGGAAAAATAGATGCATTTAAATAGCACAAGAACTGCGTGTTGATATATTATAGGCCATTTTGTACACCAGTTAGAATCTGATTTTTTATAATCTTATACCATAACCTTTTGCAGTGTACCTCTAGATTCTACAAGTTTCTGTCCATAACATTTTCTCCAGACATTTTAGAAAGCTGAAAGCTGTAAGCTGAAAGCCATCTTTCATTTCCCCTAGGTGAGGGTACAGCAGCTGGAAGAAGAGCTGCAGTCCCTCATATATGTGCAATCAGAAAATAATCAGCTCCGCAAATTGTGTACAGCCCTGAAGACTAAATATAATCAGGTACTCCAGGAATGTAATAGACATAAAGCGTCTATATTATTGCAAGTATTTATAGTGATATATACCTTAGATTTTGGTTTTCTGCTTTTCTTCTTCTGCATTTATTTATTTATTGCATTTATATCCTGCCTTTTCTCTGGCAGCATGCATGGGGATCCCCTAATTTTATCCTAACAATTTTATAAAATAGGTTGGGTTGAAGAGAGTGAGTGACTGACCTGAAATCATCCAGTGAGCTCCATTTTCAATAGAGATTTAAACCTGGATCTTTCCAGTCCTAATTCAGGGTTTACCATTGTACTTCACTGCCTCACCAGGTCTAACAGACACACACCTGTCTCCAAACCCTATAACGCTTTTCTTTCAGCCCTCCTTCCAGCAGTGCTTTAGGGAGACTTTTGACTTGAAAAAGTATCATTCCCCTGCCATTTTAAATTGGTTAAATGTTCAGTCAGCTGTCTCTAACCTAATAAATATCTTTTGCTTCTATAAACATGAAACACTTTTAGAGCCAAGAAAGTGGGACTTCTTGGAAAGTTTTTTTTCTTTTGGGGATGGTTGTATATCAAATCTGAAAGAAGCAAGTACAGATTTACAACAGGCTTACCATTCCTGTACTTTAGAGGTCTAAATGCATCTACAGTTCCCAGTTCTGGGCCCATCTGCAACATAAGCTGTTATATTTATTTCTGTGTTTTTAAAGACTTTAAATACTACACAACAAAATATAGATACATTATACATAGTTACATAATCATTTGTATTATTAACATACATTTTTCCCATTGGCTGTAATCATACACTATACAGTACTCAATTAATACACATATTGTTAGTTATGGCTTAGGCGATTTTTGAATGGGAATAATGAATAAGTAATAATTTTAGAGCAGTGAAACACATTTTAGAGCAATAGATTGATGGCTTACTGATTTTATTTTACTCAAAAGAATTAACAGAAACGTTTGACATCAGGGCTCAAAATAAGGACCAAGTAATATCAGAGCACTTTAACCTCCCATGATACACCAATGCAGATCTCAATGTCGCCATTTTGGAAAAAAGAATAAGGAGTTAAATTTAATCCTACTTGCCAGTCTGTACAACTCTTCTATCTAGTCTGTGTATTACAGAAACTGGATTGGTGAAGTATTACACTGTTTAAGTCGCATTCTGACCAAAGGGGAGGAGTCTCATGACATCACAAATGGAACAGAGTGATGTCCCAGCATTTCTGTGATATGGGAGAGAACATGCTGCTTTACCTTTGAATAAGAGGGGCTGTTGAACATAGAACCTTTCAACAGCCATTGGTGGGGAGAGGGAACAAATCAGATTTAAAATGGCTCCCTTCATACCTCAATAATGTAACAGCTTTCTAAAAGAATATGTAGGTGGGAATAAGAATCTGTATTTGAAAATGGACACCACTCTTTTCAAACTTGATCTGCCTTCTCCAGGATTTTTACTTCTCCTTAGGCCACAAAGTTTATAGCGAAAATGCCTCTTAAAAAAAGAAAGTCTTCTGAAAATTGCTGGCAGCAGAAGCCCAGTGGCCATTTTAGGTCATGCCTGGCCTGTGACGTGAAGGGCAACATGGAACTTGGGGAGCAAACGTCTGCCCTGTATTCCCCAACACGTAGAGTTCGTTTCGTGACTGATCTGCCTGGAAGGGAATCTGCCTCTGACTGTGGGGATAATCGCAGAGCCTCTCCACGTGCTCTCTTCAGAGCTGTCAAAGCCATGGATGAAAAGCTGGAACGTAAAAGAAAAATCAATGACCGCAAACAATTAGATACTGACTGGGATGTAGCTAGTGAGGGAACAGATCTCCAGAGGGTGAGTTTAAAACCATAACATGCTGAAAGAGGATATCAACCAAACAATCATGTAGGAGTAGGGAGACACAGGTTCTAGTTTTCCCTTAGGCATGGAAGCCAGCTGGGTGTCTCTGGGCCAGTCACTCTCTCTCAGCCCTAAACTGAGAAGTCAAAAAATAACTAACCCGCACTGGACCTGTGTGTGTGTGTACACACATTCATATATTCTTATTCAGACCTGATAATTGAAATACAACCTGGTTCATTTCAGTCTTCCTCTGTCTACGCCACTCCCCCCCACACACATATACATGGAGTGTATGATTTGAAATTCTGTCTAAGGTAATAATATAATAGAAAAATCACAATATAGATAGTGATATGAAGATGACAATTATTCTGCCTGGAATTTGAGAAGTTAAAGTGTTACATTAAGAGCCAAGAATGTTAAGGAGACAAATCTTATGTCATTCCACTGTGAAACTAGAAGGTAATTTGACCTGTTAAAAGTTCACGTTTAAAGAAATGTTGTCAGACTCACCCTGAAACCAGAGAGTTTACATTTATTAAAGAAAGAAATCTGGTTCTACTTCAATTGGAGTAGGAAGTTGGTTCCATTGTTAGTTTTTATCATCACTCTGAGCTTTACTTTGCACTTTATATGTTATCTTTCTATTCTATTTGGCATTGTTACTGTTTATCTTACAGTTAGTTCTATAAGAAAGAATACTGTTCCATGGGCAGTGAGTAGAAATAGTAGGACAGTTTACTATTATATTGCACACTGGTATTTGTTGTCATGTTCCTATTACTACCTGCTTTTTTAATTGCGTAAAAGACGCAAAGCATAAAGGAGATAGAGACCAATTACTGACACAAAATGTCAGTAATTGGTCTCTATCTCCTTTATGCTTTGCGTCCTTTATGATCAAAAGAATGGGGGGAGTACTCTCTTTTGCTCTCAGCTTCATTTTATGGTAAGATTAGGTGAGGGAATTCATTTCCTAAAATTAACCATAAGATTAAGTGTCTTGAAAAATTATTGTGTCTAGGTCGCTAATCATTTCTTTCAAGTGATGCATCCACCATCCAACATATTCCGTGACTCATGGATACGTGTGAAATGGTAACTACTTCTGAATATTCCAGTCTTTGGAATTTGTACAGAATTAAGGATGCTGAACAACTTTTTTTTCCTAGAGACTAGTTCCTGGCATTTAGAAAAATATCATTCTTCTCTCTCTCTTTCATAAAAGGCACAGTCTCTCCTTGTTTATAGAGAGGAGGCTTTTTCTGAGTCAATCAAATCCCGTGATGAAGCATTAAGAGAGAACCAGAAGCTCAGAGGGCAAATAGGTGCCACTGAAGAAAGAGAAAAGCGCAAGGTAACACAAGATGGGGAAAGATATTTCTCAGCTTTGTCCAAACTTTTCAGCTAAGTACTTTCACCAAAACATGTTGATGTTTCTGTTCAGCATCTCCATAAAGACTATGTGATCTGTCGGTTATTCTCGCTGCTGTTTCAGATGTTCTGGTCGCTATATATTAGTTACTAGGAGAAGCAAGGAACAAGCCCTTTGTTGCTCTGTTTTTCACCCCAGGGCCTCAAGGGTAGGTGGTATGACAGATTAGTGCTGACTGTTATTTGATAGTTGGGAGAAAAATTGGTCAGCAAGGTGATTTTTCAAAATATTTTTTAATTAAAACTTCCTCATAGGGTGGAATAGAATGAATGATGGCATCTGATCAGAAAAGTTCTTCCCACTTCACAACAGAGTGAGTTTTTCAGTTTATTTAACTTCCTGAGGCACTTAACTAACACACTTTAGAAAGAATAAACAGCTAATTTCTAATCTACATCTTTATCTTAATTTACCTCAACAGTTAGCAGCAGCAGCAGCAGCACATATTTTCCATATACCACTAGTCTCCCTGGAAAGAACAAGAAAAGACTCGTCGGTCCAAATTATATTCTTGCCATGATTTTTTTCTGTTTCTGAAGCATTGTTGAAATCGGTGCAGTGCAGCCAAATACTGTGCTGTGCTGTTTACAGTTTTTGCACTATACAAACACCAGTGTACACACACAATCACAATGCAACAGCCCAAATGCCCCAACAATGATCCTGCCTGATGCCCCAGGCTCAATCAGCAGCAAAACACATCACAAGCCACATCAGAAAAAAGCAATCACAAACACATGAAAACCTCAAGTCAGAAAAAGTTAAGTAAAGAAACAGAAGCTTATGTAACCAGAGCCACCCAGAGTAGTGTAGGAAAGGGCAGTCATAGAAATGGCAATTATAAGTAAGTGCGCACTAGACAAGAACACAACTTACTGACAGTCCCAAAGCAAAATACAATTTTTGGTCTAAGCATTTTAAAAATTAACAACAGACCAAAGAGCATGGCTACATAGCCAAATCTTAATCAACCAGCCCAAGACTTCGCATTTTTCATTGCACTATGGTGTCAGAGCCAAATGCATAACTAACCAAAACAGGAAGTCTTTTTTGAAGGCACTATTGGCTTATTGCGCAAGTCAAGAGTGTACTCACACACCACACCCAAACTCTGACAACAACTCTGCACTATATTAGTAGCCTTTTCATAGCCTCAACGCTACATCAGCAACACATGCACAAGGATACTTTTTTTTTTTTTGGCAGGCTACACCCACCCTTATGAAGTCTTAACTTCCACATAAAGAATCTTTAAAAAACAGCTGGAACTTTCCAGGTGGGCAGTGCATGAAGCTATGAGCAGCCCTTTGTGTTTTGCCTGGGATGGACTCTACTCTGCTGGGTTGGCCATCTCTCAGTCAGCCAGCCCAGCCTTAACCAAAGGAACAGCAGGGATATGACCAAGCTGATTAAAAACAAAACAATCACAAGTCTCAACACAGAAGTCCAGTTGCAACCCTTGAAACAGTTCAAAATGACTGAGTTTTATTCCACGATCAAAATTGACCCCCAGTACTTGTTTTATGTCAAACCAGTTTAAATGTTGGGATAATCTGCAGTACCATCACAGACCACTAGTTCCCATACCACCGATTGGGAACCATTGCACTAGGCCAGATGGATGAATAGATTTGTGAACAAAGTGACTGCAAGATTCATCTACTCCTTCATTTGCCACACCGTAGTATCTCAATTTAATTGATCCTCGGGCCTTATTCTTACTAAGTCCATGATCCTGAATAAGATCTTCCCATCGCACTGTGATGTAATGGTTAAGGTGATAAAATCCCATTGATGAGACTCAGGCTCAAGTCTACCCAAGTCCCTTGATCTTACTTCAAATGCCAAGAAGATTTTTTTCCTTGCTTTCTCCTTTTCAAGATGAGGATGATCTGTTATATTGCCTCTTATTTTTGTCTGTTAATTTCTCTTACAAAATAATAAAGTCTGCCATCAGTCAGGGAAATTCCCAGGTTCTGGGAAGAAACTGACCTTGAGTCTGGCTGATATAGGTTTGTCTGATGTCATTTCCTTATCTGAAAGTCTTCAGAGAACTGTTGAAAAGTGGGATGTGTAATTCAGTGGTAGAACATATGCACTGTGCCTAGATTTAATCTGTGGCACTCCTTTGTTCACTCTCCAAATAGAGCTAGAAAAGTCTGTTAGCAGCTGCTAATAGTTAAGTAGATGAACCAGTGGTTTGATTTAATATTGGGCAATTCCCTTTGTTCCTAAAGTGAATTTGTTCAACAATCTTAGGTAAATTAGAATCCCCCCACATCAGTAACAAAGAGATGATGATAGCAATCTATTTTACAAGGCTGCATCACTGCCCTAGTGCATTTGAGGCACTCTGAAGTTGCAGGACAGGCATTTCGTACATGATCATGATTTATTCAGGACTGAAGGACGTGACAACTTTTTTCAGAGCTCAAGATAAAGGTGGAGTTTGCTGAACACAGAACGTTGCTTTACACAAAAGTCAAACAATTTGTCTTCTAGCCTTGCCTATTCTGTGTGGCAGCTACAGTTTTCCAAGTTTTCAAAGGAAGAGGTCTTTACAGGGTGAATTGTCTGTGTTCATTCAAATGGGATCTTCTGCTTATAAAACTTGTGCTCTGCCCCTGAGCTATGCCTGGGACATACAAAACAAGTGGTTGGCCAACTGCTCATTGCCTGTCATGTTGTTCTGCAGCTGGCAACTCTACAACGCAAGCTGGAAGAATCAAAGGAAGATAACATCAAAATGACCACAATGTTAGAAAATGTGTTGGCTTCTCATAACAAGATGCAGGTAGCTCTGGAAAAGGTGCGAACTGAGTTGGGGCACAAAGATTCTGAGATTGCTGTCTTGAAGAAAGATAGGTAAATGACCTTGCCACTTCTCTACTTTGTATGTTGCTCAGAAGGGCCAACTGAATGTTTTTTATTTGCATGGTAGAATACCATTAGTCTTAATGTTAATTAGTATTAACTTGAAAAACATTAGTATCTAACTTGAAAAAAAGTCCAATGTACAATATCAGGATGTGTTAAGGAATGCTCTAAGAGATTCCGTTTCTGCAAATGAGGGTTTGTTAAAAAAATCTTCTCTGAAATACTAGGCAATAGTTGAGATTTCGTTTTGCTCATTAAAATAAACAAGAAGCACATTCCCTCAGTACACCTATTCTTTGGGCTCTTTCTCTTCTCAATGCAGGACCCAGAGCCAGCAGAGAATTCAAAAGCTGGAAGCAGAGCTGGAGGACTATCATAGCAAGCTGGCTTTGGACTCCCAGCGCAATGCAAAGGTAAAAAAAGAGGCAGTTTCCAGTGACCAAAAAAGGCAGTCTGTTTGTTCTGGGATTTTTGACATCCTCAATAAGAGAAATGCAATTCTCTGTTGACGAGATATTGATATAATTTGGTTGAAATGGAAGTATCTTTGATCTGTGACTACTGTTTGTGTTGCCATTTGCAGTGTGAGGTTCATAGCAGGGTAAGGTGATTGACATTGATTGTAATACAGAGGTCCCAGCCCCTAAGGCTTGAAGTTTGGGGAGAGTATTGTAGGCATTCTTGCAAAATGGCTGCTGGGAGGGCCAGGCCCATTCACAAAATGGCTGCCACAGCAAATGCAAAATGATTTATCAGAATGTTACCTGCCACACTTTCCAGCCACCCCTCTCTTCCACAGGAAGCTCTGTTATTTCTACTTATCTTCTTTTTCTTCTTTCTTGAATAGGAGGATACAGTCATCTTCTTTTTTATTTTCTCAGAAGGCTTTTGGGGGAAGGAGCTGAGAGGTAGTCTTAGAAATAAAAATTACTGGAATCCATTGCTTTATATTACAGTATGCCAACTGGAAGCATTTTTAAAATATAATATCTAGGAAGGGCAGAAAGCCTGGCCGATGCCAAGTGAAGCATCTTTGGGCACGTTGGCCTTTGTAATAATAGGCTGCATTTCCCACAATTATTATCACCATGTGCTTTCTTCCCCACAAAAGATGAACTCACTTCGTAAAAGCCTGGAAGCCTCCAAAACGGAAAAGAAGAAACTTGTCCAAAATTTAGAGCAAACCCTGCAGACCAATAGTGCCCTGCAAAGCAAACTCTCGCTTGTTCAAGATGAGTTGGAAAGCAAAGAAGCAGAATGCCGGCAATTAATGGAATGCAGGCAAGATTTTGTTTACTTATGTATGCATTCATGCAGTTTTCTTTCCCATTGCACTATGGAGTCTCTAGATGATGTACAAAGTCATAAAGATAATACAACCAAATTAAATTTTACAATCTGATTATAAGCATAAATGTGTTGTGGCCAACAGTACTGCTAATTAATCTGTGGAGGTCCTCCCAAAAAGCCCGATTATCCCAAGCTTTTAGAAGGCCGCCTTTGCCTTGGAGAGGGTGACAAAAAACGAAGTGAAAAGAACAGAAAATCTAGCATACAATTTGGAAGAAGCTCTTTTGCCTAT